TTTAGACAAAGGCCAGTCAAATTCTCTACTATATAACACTTGCATTTCTGTATGAACTTTACAATCAGTTTGTCAATATCTGCCCCCCAAAAAGTCAGAATTTTTGTAACGATTGCATTGAATCTGTGGTTCAATGTGGGGAGTATTCAATATTAAAACAACAATATTAAGTCTTCTGCTTCATGAGAATGGGCAATCTTTTCATTTATTTACATCATCATTCATTTCTTTCACCTGTGTTTTGTAATTTCAGTATAAAAGTCATGTGCTTGTTTTATTAGAGTTATTCCTAAGTATTTTATTCTTTCTGATGCTATTGTAAACGGAATTACTTTCTTAATGTCATTGTCAGATTATTTATTGCTAGTGTATAGAAATACAATTGGTTTTTTAATTTTTTAATTTAAATATTTTACTATTTTTAAAATATTGAGCTGTAAACTACAACCTTGCTGAACACAGTATTAGTTCCAATAGTTTTATAGCAGACTTCTTGAACCTTCCTATAGTTAAAATCATGCTATCTGATTTTACTTCTTCCTTTTCAATCTGGATGTCTAATTGCTCTGGCTAGACCCTCCAGTACAATGTTGAATAGAAATGGTGAGACTAGACGTCTTTGTCTTATTTTCAATCTTCAGGGCAAACATTCAGCTTTCCACAATTTAGTGTGCTATCAGTTGTAAGTTTTGGTTTTTTTTTTTTCCTAACCCTAACCCTCAGTATTTCCTATTTACATATTACATCCCTTTTTATCATCATATGCACACATGTTTTTTTCCATAGCTGTAGCCATAATACACCAAAACTTTGATGATCTGAGAACAAATGCTACTTTTGAGAAGGGGCTCACCTATTTGCAATGTCATTGGCAACACCTGAAGGTATAGATTTCCCTCCAACCTTGACAAGCATGGTGGTTGTCCCTTTTAAAGCAGGAACATTAATTCCTTAGGGACTGTGATGTTTAATTTTATGTGGCAGCTTGACTAGGCTAAGGGATGCCCGGATAGCTGGTAAAACATTATTTCTTGGTGTGCCTCTGAAGACGTTTCTGGAAGAGATTAGAACTTGAACTGGGAACTGAGTAATGCAGATGGCTCTCCGATGTGGATAGGCATCACCCAATCCACTGAGGGCTCTAATAGAACAAAAAGAAGGAAGGGCAGATTGGCTCTTTTTCTGCTGGAGCTGAGACATCTGCCTTCTGCCCTTGGATGTCAGTGCTCCTAGTTCTCAAGCTTTCTGACTCAGGACTTACACCATCAGACCACCTGATTCACAGGTCTTCAGATTCTGGCTGAATTACATCATTGGCTTTCTGGTTCTCTAGCTGCAGACAGCAGATTGTGGGACTTCCAGGCTTCCATAAGCAAGTGATTCCCATCTTCTTTTATATATTTCTCTATGTATCCTGTTCGTTCTGTTTCTCTGGAGAATCCTGACTAATACTGGGATCTTTCCTTGAAAATGTATTTTGGGGGTACTCAGCAGGAAAAAAAGTTTCTATTTGCTTCGTGGAAAGCAGTGATGATATTCCTGTCTTTGAAATCAGTCAAATCTTTCCAGAACCATCATTACTAACTGTGAGACCTTGAGCTTGGTCCTTCACCTCTCTGAATCTTAGCTTCTTATTCTGCAAAGTGGTAATATTAACACTGTTGTACAGAGCTGAGGTGGAGCTGACACGAAGTGGTGCAACTCAGAACCATGCCTAGTACATAGTAAGTGCTCAATAAATGCTTGCTGCTGGTATTGTCTGCTTCTTTTGGCCTCTTGTTTTTAACCTCATGTCTTAGTCTATTCAGCTGATATAACAAATATCATAGACTGGGTGGTGTATAAACAACAGAAAGTTATGCTCACAGTTCTGGAGGCTGGGAAATCTGAGATCAAAGCACCAGTAGATTCAGTGTCTGGGGGTGGAAAGGGGTAAATTGAGAGTTCAGAATTTGTAGGTACTAACTACTATGTATAAAATAGATAAACAATAGCACAAGGAACTATATTCAATACTCTGTAATGGCCTATAATGAAAAAGAATATGAAAAGGAATTATATATATATATTCAAATATAAAGGAATATATATAAATAAATCACTATACTGTACACCAGAAATTAACACATTATAAATCAGCTATACTTCAATTTAAAAAACCCACAAAAAAATGATGCTTAGGTTTTTGGTCAGAAAGAGAAAAGCATCTTCTGACAGCTGAAACCGACCTGGTATTATTATTAGGTGGACCCTGTTGTTTCCTATTAAACAATTTCACATAATATCAACATTAAACAAGGACTGAGGTGCGACCTTGATGGATCAAGATAAAAACAAGGCCACTTTGTAATCATGTCTGAACACAGACAAAAATGTAAACGTTGTGGAAGTAGTCTAGAGCTCAGTGGCAGAGAGCATGCCTAGCATGCAGGAGGTCCCAGGTTCAATTCCCAGTACTTCCACTAAAATAAATAGGTAAATAAACCTAATTACCTACCCTCATAAATAAATTAATAAATAAGTAATAAAAATTCATATGGAAATACAAAGGACCTAAAATTATCAAAAAAGATTTGAAAAATAATAAAGTGAACAGGCTAACACTATCTGATTTCAAGAATTATTACGAAGCTACAATAATCAGAACAGTGTGATGTTAGCATAAATAGACATATAGATCAGAGAATAGAATAGAGTCCAAAAATAGAACTACACATATTTGGACAACCGTTTTGTAAAAAGTTAGGAAGGCAAAGCAGTTGAGAAAGGATAGTCTTTTTATTAAGTGGTGCTGGAACAACTTGACAAACACATAAAAGAAAAAAAAGTGTAAACATTGTCCAAGCCTTAAAAATGACCAAACATCTCCCATCCCGGCTGTTCCAATTACAGGCTTAGCCTCCCCTCCTTCCTTCCTTCCTTCCTTCCTTCCATCCACCTTCTAGAAGAGATTGACTATGATACCCACAGAATTATCCCTGCTTCCTGACGGCATTAACTCCAGAGCAAAGCCCTGCTTTATTGAACCTTACCACAAATCGCCTATGGATACACCCAAATCCTGTAGGAAACCTTTTCTAACACCCTCTCACTGAGACACTCCCTCACTGCAGTAAGCTGATAAACCCATCTTTGTTCTATCGTACGTGCGTTCCTGACGGTCATTGGCTGAAGGGCATTGATTTTGGCATTAGCCATTCATACTAGGTGATGGTGCCCTTTCCTGAGATGGATGGACATGGTCGGTGGTTGGAGTAACCAACTGTGCTAGCCCCTCTGGCCAGCCTTTGCCAGTGGATGCCCCAGTCAGAGGCTGGAAGGCTTGCCAGTGTTTCTCACAAGAGGTTTGCCCTGATCCTCCACGCTGTTCCCGCTAAGGCATCACCAACTTCATTTAGGTTCAAACATAGGAGGAAAAAGCGGCCGATTTTCAATGTGTACTAGGTGCCAAGCAGTGTTCTAAGGGCTCTGGATATTTTCATTCATTTACTTCTCCCATCAAGCTTATGAACACAGGTACTACTATTTTCGGGTTTTACTCCTGAGAAAACTGAGGTACAGAAGTTACATAACTTGCAGAGTGAGGATTCGAACCGACGCCTAAATTTAAGTCGGCCAGGGCCAGCCTCGAGATCTGGAGACGACGCTGAAGCGGCCATCTTACTTAGTCTGCAAGAACTGCAACTCCCGGCATCCCTCGCGGCAGCAGGCCTCCACACACAACAAATCCCGGCGTGCCCTGGGGCGGCCCGGGGTGGAGGGTTCTAGAAGGCGTGACGTGGGGTCGGAAGCGGGCTCAGAGGCGGGCGCCTCTCGGCAGTCGCTGTGGCCGCAGCTGCCGGGCC